AGAGGAGAGTGAAGAAGTTGGCTTAAAGCTCATCTTCAGAAAAATAAGATCAAGGCATCTGGTCCCATCATTTCATGGGAAATAGATGGGGAAACAGTGGTAACAGTGTCGGGCTTTATTTTTGGGGGCTCCAAAATCACTGCAGATGGTGATTGCAGCCATGAAATTAAAAGACACTTACTCTTTGGAAGGAAAGTTATGACCAACCTAGATAGCATATTAAAAAGCAGAGACATTACTTTGCCAACAAAGGTCTGTCTGGTCAAGGCTATGGTTTTTCCAGTGGTCATGCATGGATGTGAGAGTTGGACTATAAAGGAAGCTGAGTGCCGAAGAATTGATGCTTTTGAACTGTGGTGTTGGAGAAGACTCTTGAGAGTCCCTTGGACTGCAAGGAGATCCAACTAGTCCATCCTAAATGAGATCAGTCCAGGGTGTTCATTGGAAGGACTGATGTTGAAGCTGCAACTCCAATACTTTGGCCACCTAATGTGAAGAGCTGACTCATTGGAAAAGACCCTGATGCTGGAAAAGATTGAGGGCAGGTGGAGAAGGGGACGGCAGAGGATGAGATGGTTGGATGGCATCACCAACTCGATGGGCATGGGTTTAGGTGGACTCTGGGAGTTGGTGATGGACAGGGAGGCCTGGTGTGCTGCAGTTCATGGGGTCACAAAGAGTCAGACATGACTGAACTGAACTGAACTTCTTCCTTTTGATTTTTGCCCTTGGAGAGAAATGTTGGTTGAGTGGTTTGTGTTTATATCTTATTGGGGGTGACTTGTGCCTCTGTTCTAGTGGGAGAAGGTCACGTATGTAATTACAGAAATACTGGGACATAAAGACACACACTTCCACACATACAGTTATAACCAAAGCATTCTAAAGAAAAGAATGCAGGAAATTGACTTGGTGAGCAAGGGAAACCACAGGTGATATCAACCAATTGAAAGAAGAGCTAATTAAAGCTCAATCTGGAACTCGGAGCATGAGTAGATGGCCAACTGGGAAACATAGCATAGAGAGCTCATCAGTTTAACCTACTTGGTGAAAGAAGAAAGAGTGAAGGGAAAAATGGAGAATAAAAAAAGAGAGAGAAAAAAGAAAGAGAAGGGAGGGAAAAGAAAAGGAAGGGGTGGAGAAGAGGATTTAAAAAATTTAAAAAGAGAAGAAAAATAGAGCAAATATTAAAACGTGTGGAAAAGCTTTATATAGATTCAGAAATAGCTACAGCCAGTAAAGAACAGTAGGAAAAGCATTGAATATATCCAAAACAAAATCCAAAAAAAAAGAAAAAAAAACCCACAACAAAAAACAAACAAACAAAAAAAACCACAACTCATCAATAAAGGAAAAAAAGTGAAGAGAAAAAAGAAAAAAAAGAAAACCCCTAAAATGAATGTTTTTGTTGCCTTTTTTTTTTTGACAAGAAACACAAAGAAGAAAATTCCACAGCACCGCAAAAGGCTATAAACCATGTGATTTACTAAAAAAAAAGAGAGAAAAAAAATTAAAAAAAAAAATTTTTTTTTTAAACAAGGAAAACTCCACAGCAACACAAAACGCTAACGTGATGGTGGAAACATGTTGGGGAATAAGCAGTGTGATTTATAAAAAGAAACAATCTTAAAATGATTTTTTTTTTAAGAAGAAAATCAAAGAGGAAAACTTCACAGCGCCAGTAAATGCTAGTGTGAAGGTGGAGATATGTTGGGGGAATAAACAGTGTGATTAATAAGAGGAAAAGAAAGTATGAAAGAAAACGAAAAAAATGAAAGAGGAAAAAAAATGAATAAATAAAGGTTTTCAAGGTCGTCGCTCTTGGTTGTGGAGTTTGCCTTTGTGGATGGTGTTGGGTTAGCTCCTGTGATGTTTTCCTGGTTGGTGGAGCTTGTGCCTGTGTTCTGGTTGATGGGGCTGGATCTGGTCTCTCTCAAGGTGTTAGGTGCGTCTATTTCCACAGCTGCCTCAAAGTGGCCCTCTCAGCATAACTGCAGGGCCGCCAGCCTCCTACTTGCCCCTTGGATCCTTGCCGGTGCTTCTGTTCCCGTTTCCTGCCCTGCGCTGCTGGCCCAAGCTTGCTAGGCAGGTGTTTGCGTGGGTCCTTTCGCATCGCGGCGACTCGTGTGGGCTTCGCTCACCCTCTGCATCGTGGGGCTAGTGCGGACTTCTTTCGACTCCCCGTGCCCCTTCTCTGCATCGCGGGGTTTATGTGCACTTCTTTCATCTCACTGCCTACACTCTTTGTCGCGGGGCCGGGGGGAAAGGGGGGAGGGAGGGTACCTTTGCCCCGGCTGTGTTTGTCCGCCGGCTACCTGGGCCCGCCCTCTCTGCTGCAAGGGTGGTGTGCGCTCGTTGGGTTTGTCTGCAGCACCACTCTCGGTTCCCGGAGCCTGTTTGGGGTCACAGTCCGAGAGCTGTTAATGGGCTGAGAAGTACAGCTTTCTCTGTTTACTGGCCTCCAAGTCCCTGCTTTGCCTGATTTTCCTAGACTTCGCAGCTCCCCTTTGGGCCCGCCTGTGAGGGAGATTCCCAGTGCCTGGGAACTCCTGTTTCAGGGCTCCCTCCCTGCCTTGGGGCACAAGCTCCTGCCCAGAAATTCTCCATCTTTTCTCTTTTTTATGTTTCCCTTCTCTCTCCTACTTCATTGGAGGCCTGGGGTCTTCTGCAGCCTAGAGGTTGCTTTGTAGAAGTTGTTCCGTATCTTGAGTTTTTGATGTATTTGCGGGAAGGCTAGCCATCTCCCCGTCTTACTCCTCCACTATCTTTGATTCCTGAACTTAATTTTAAGTTTTTTCAGGAAAAAACGAAAAAAAAAAGGTAAAATATTTTAAATGAATTTTTTTTTTTACTAATTTTCTTAAATTTATTTATAACTGATGTACTTTTTCCCATTTCATTTAGGCAGGAATTTGTTCTACAGTGATGTATAGTTAAATCGTAAGATATGAACCTTAAGTTTTAAATAATTTCTTCTTGAAATTTCCAGAAATATCTTTTCATATTTTAATGTTTTTAATCTATTTGATCCTGAACAGAATACAATAGAGAAGAGTCACCAAATAATAATTTTTAGTGGTTTATGTATTTCCTAAAGCCCATGAGTTTCTTTTATATGTAATAGAAACTGCAAGTTTTAATTTTAATTGATTGGTTATGTATTGGTTAAAATAATTACATAAAAAATCTCATCCCAACCTGGAAAATCTCTTCACAAGGTGAAACAGATATAAACAGTTTTATAATTAAAAAGCATCAAGCCAGAATTTGAAATGTATCATCAGTTCAATTCAGTGGCTCAGTCGTATCTGACTCTTTGTGACCCCATGAATTGCTCGCAGCAGGCCAGGCCTCCTTGTCCATCACCAAATCCCAGAGTTTACTCAAACTCATGTCTATCCAGTCGGTTATGCCATATAGCCATCTCATCCTCTATCATCCCCTTCTCCTCCTGCCCCCATCCCTCCCAGCATCAGGGTCCTTTCCAATGAGTCAACTCTTCGCATAAGGTGGAAATGTATCATAGTTGGAAAGAAATTGCAAAGTCAGAAAGAAACCTCAGCCTTTAACATAGCCAACCAAATAGGATCCACTGCAGGCATGTCTCAAAATAGTGGAGTGGGTAGCCATTCCCTTCTCCAGGTGATCTTACAGACCCAGGGCAGATTCTTCACCATTGAGCCACCAGGAAGCCCAGATAAACAATTAAGGTGTTAAAGTAGGAGCACTTAACACCACCATGTGTCACGCAGTTTATCTTAAGTCCACTAAGTAGTTGATTTGTGTTTGCTAACTGGCTTTATCCATATGGAAACTAAACATTTTATACATTTGTGACAAGAAATAGTTTTGTATCTTGGTCAAGGTCTTTGCTGAAGCTAGGTGCTTACCCTCCCACAGAAAATGGGAGAAAATATGCTATTAATATCTTCCTTGATGATTAATCACTTTCCAAAGAATTGGCTCCCAGCCCTGAAAAAAGACAAGTTTGGGTTGTAAAGTTGGCAAGAGATTTATCTCAGTTTTTAAAAGTTAGCATACATTTCAAAGAGACAGAAAAATAATTTACAAGCTTTTCTAAAGTAAATACTCTAAGAAGGGGAAGGAAGGAAATACTTTTCCGTAATTTTCAGCAGAACTAATTCTCTTTTTTTAATTGTTCTTTGCCTTTACACATTACAATTGCAAATATAATGTTTTTTGATTAAAAAAAAAGAACATGCAAGATTATAAAGACACAGACAAACTAAGGAAACTCCTTCTCCCCACTCTTCAATGTATATATCTTCAAGTGGCTTTTTAAATGAAGAAAGAAAGATTTAAAATTATAATATGCAATACCATTCCCTAATGGCTCAGTTGGTAAAAAATCTGCCTGCAATGCAGGAGACCCACATTCCATCCCTAGGTCAGGAAGATCCCCTGGAGAAGGGAATGGCAACCCACTTCTCTTGCCTGGAGAATCCCATGGACAGAGGACCCTGGCAGGCTACAGTCCACGGGGTCACAAAAAGTCAGACACGACTGAGTAACTAGCACTTTCTTACAACAGGTCACAGCTGTGACCTCCTAGTTTTGCCTCCTAGTACCCTCAGACCACGTCTGAAGACAGTTTAGATAATCACAACTAGTGTGGACAATGCTACTGGTAATTAGTTAGTAGAGGCCAGGGAGAATACAAATATGTTTGACTGTTTCTGGATTTAAAAAAAAAAAAAAAGTTCATATACCTGACTATCTTCTTTACTGCTTTTCCTCATCAGCTTCCTGAAGTCCATGGCAGGTACAAGGCACTCGATAAACACTGATTGAGCTGAATGTTCTGAGAACATTTTTTGTAGGCCATAGTGTTGTATATGAAATATATAATGATCCTGTCCTCAGCTTTTATTCATGTGAAATAAAAATATACCACATAGCCTCTAATGCAATTTTCATGACTATGTTACCCCTAACAACGGCATTATTCTTTATTTTCATTCTGTTTACTCAATTTGCAGACAATATAACACAAATTTCTTCAGTCCCTGTCTATGTACAAGTTCTCAATATCAATGATCATGCTCCTGAGTTTTCTGAATACTATGAGACTTACGTTTGTGAAAATGCAGTCTCTGGTCAGGTAAGAATCCATCATAAATTGCCTATATCTAAACAGTACTTTGTGTTATAGAGAATAGCATTTTCTATGTATTCCTCCATCTTTGAAATTATATTAATAAAAATAACCTTTATTTAGCTATATTAATTATAGGCTTTAATGTTGTAAGTTACATATAATTTAAATTTCTTTCTTTCAAAAAATATGTGAACTTCAAATTTTCTACTACCAGATGCCTCACATTTGAAAAATCTGCTAACCTTTAGAATTTAATAGTAAATCATTTGTACTTTGTCAATATAGAAATTATTTTTTGTGATTCTGTAAAGTATATAATTTTATTTTTATTATTTCATCCATCATGCAAATAAAGACAAAATGATATATAAAATACATCAGACATCAATAGATGAAATTCAATTTGAAATGAATTATTAAATATATAAAGACTTAGGAAAGCATACTCATTTTGAAATACATTATCATTACTTCACAATTTTTTCACACATTTTCTCATATGGGGCTTACCTTCTTATATTTGTAAAATGTAGAGTTTAAGTTAGATTGTCCTTTGAGTATATCAGTTCCAATACACAATAACTTTACATTTTTTTAGGTATCCTATTAAATGTCATAAAACATTAAAAAACAAACAAACTACTTTTTAAAATACTGAATAAATATTGCTGTTGTTTAGTCTTTAAGTCTTGTCAGACTCTCCGCAACTCCATGAACTGCAGCACACCAGGCTTCCCTGTCCTTCACTATCTCCCTGAGTTTGCTCAAACTCATGTCCACTGAGTCAGTGATGCCATGCAACCATTTCATCCTGTTTCCCCCTTCTCCTCTTGCCCTCAATCTTTCCTAGCCTTAGGTTCTTTTCTAATGAATCAGTTCTTCACATTAGGTGGCCAAAATATTGGAGACTCAGTTTCAGCATCAGTTCTTCCAATGAAAATTCAGGGTTGATTTCCTTTAGGATTGACTAGTTTGATCTCCTGACTGTCCAAAGAACTCTCAAGAGTCTTCTCTAACACCACAATTTGAAAGCATCAAAGGAAAAAAAAAAAAGAATCAAGTACTTACAAAACTATAAAACAAAAATTGAAAGTTACAAAAACCAATATAAATGTATTACTGGTATTGGTTTTATTTTTATTGGAGGTTTTTTTATGTACATTCTTGATTTATTCTGGTTAGTTTGAAATTTGTTGTTTTTATAAAATATCTCAGAAGCAATAATTCAATAAATTTCATTTTTCTTTCTTAAACTAAGTTAATACATTTTAAATTATCAGATTATTTTTTTTCAAAATTATTTTTTGAAAGACAATGAAATGATACCTTTGAGTATGCATGTCAAGAAAAATAAAAATTAGGTAAATTGTAAAATTAAATCCCTATTTTGTAATATGATATTTGTGTGTTCTAATAATTTGAAAATCTGAATGATGTAAACAGTGTTGGGAAGATGATACATAAATATATTAAAATTCTCCAGTCTCTCAACAGATTTTGCTGAAACAAATGAATAGGAAAGAAACAGGGAGGAAACGGAAAATTCCATCTAAGCCTCATACTTTATACAAAGATTATTTTATAATGTATCATAGATTTAAATATAAACCTAAAACTAGAGACAAGCAGAGGAGAAAGAATTATCTTATGGCTAGACAAAGAGTTCTTAAATATAGCACCAAAATACCAATCCATAAGAGAAAACATGTATTAATTTGATGTAATCAAAATTAAGCCTGTGAAAATCTCTGTTAAAAGAATAAAAAAGACAATCTACAGAGTGGCAGAAAATATTTGAAAGTAAGAATGAAATAACTCGTACTCAGTCTAATAGTCAAAATCTCCCTTAATAGTGAAACACATTTGGTAGTATATTTTATTTATTTACTTATTTATTTTGGTAGTATATTTTAAAATAATAATGAGAATAAAATCTTTTCTTTCTGTACTGTCAATTCATAGTGTTCCGAAGCTTAGGTCCATACAATAATACATATAATTCATACAAAGCAGACTTCCAAAAAGAAGAAAATATATTTGAGAACGTAAGATTATCTAGTAAAGTGGGTAAAGTGCTGACAAATAAATATGATAGAATTTTAATTTTTCTGAAAGCATTAAAAAAAAAAAGAAGAGGAGGTTGCTCTTCAACAGGCATAATGTTTCCATTTAGCTGGGTGAATAAGCCTGTGACATTGTCCCTATGGTTAAAAATGTGTTTAAGAGGGTGGCTCTCATGTTAAGTGCTTTTGCCCCAAAGTTTTTAAAATGTAGAAGAAAAAGGTAAAATTAATTTTAATGTTTGTTTGACAGAATATGATGATTTTCACATGTAATAAAAATATAGGGAAATAGTTTATGTTTTTTCTCATACTATGAAAATCACTCTTGTCTCATTTCCCACAGGCTCAGACAGCTGGACAAAATGGTGTGTTAAAAGGTCTCCTGTATCTATCTGCTTTGGGTAGATAATACAATCACTATAGGAAACCAAAATGCCAGAACAGTGCATTCTATTCTGAAGGAAATCAGACATTCCCCTAATGACCTATGTGGCTAAGCAGAAGTTTTATTTCTGTTCCTTATGTGCAAATGGCCAGGATGGGGAGGAGAGGAAGAGTAAAACTTTTGAGAGGTTTGCAAAGTATGGATATAATAAATGAGCTGACATTGGGGCAATTTGCCTTTTCTGTTTGGTGTAAATAGTTATCATTTTTCAAATTAATGATTCCCATTATCTTGACTGATACCAAATATCTTTTCCAGAAGTAAAGTAGCATAGCAGTAATTTTTAGATTCCTTCATACCAATACACTGTCTAAAGTAAAGACATTTACATTCTCTCCATGTAAAAATTTTGTCCTGCCTAAATTTCTATGATCCCACAGTGCAATCCCAGTTTTCTCTTCATCTTCCTTTCTCTCTCCTGTCCCATACTTTTTTATTTTTTTCACTCTTTCTGTTATACACAAAATGTCTCAATTACCGTTCATATGCAAATGACTTCTGGATCTTTATGCCAGTTCTTTCTCTTATATTTAAAGCTGTAAGTCCAAATAATTAGAGAAAATTTCTACCTCTGTTCTGCTGGAACATAAACAGTGGTGACGGAGACACTCTTGGCCCCAGCCACCATGGGACACCCAGACCTGAAATGACTTGGCATGTTCCAAATGCCGGTGAAACGTGTGTTAAATGGATACATTTGGGATATTTGTTATATACTTTCATAATTTTAAATTTGTATGTGATAATTTTATATGAACTTTTATAAAGAATGTTTACAAAAGTAATGTATCAAAGGAAAATGAGAACATATATATAGATAAAATCTAAGAATATATCATTTTTAAGAGAATAAATGTATATGTATACAAGTTACATTACATTTACAAAACATTACATTTAATGTAATTTAAATACATCTAATAAAATTTTGTGAAAAGTTTTTTTTTGAAACTAGTTCTGCCTCTGTCTACTATCAAAATGTTAGGATACCATGAGCTTCTCAATATTTTTTTCCTAAAAACATTCTAAACTAAGAAAGAAAACAGACTACAGATTCAATTTTCTTGTAGCTCTATTATTTGATTAGCACTTTGACCTTTAGAACAGATGTTCAGTCACCTTTTTGAGTGCTAAATGTGTATCTATCCTAAAAATAGATAAAAATCCTAAAAATGAATCCTAAAAATTGGTATCTCCATATTTTAAAAATATGTATTGGAATGTAGTTGATTTACAGTGTTGTGTTAGTTTCAAATACACAGCAAAGTGAACCAGTTGGTGCTCCAGTGGTTAAGAATTTGGGCTTCCATTGCAGAGGGCATAGATTTGATTCATGGTTTGCATGCATGCTAAGTTGCTTCAGTCATGTCCAACTCTTTTCAATCCTATGGTCTATAGCTTGCCAGGCTCCTCTGTCCGTGGGATTCTCCAGGAAAGAATACTGGAGTAGGTTGCCATGCCCTCCTCCAGGGGATCTTCCCAACTCAGGGATCAAACCCGTATTTCTTACATCTTCTGCAATGGCAAGTGGATTCTTCATTGTTAGTGCCACCATCCTGGGAACCAAGATCCCACTTGCCATGCACTGTGGCCAATAAATAAATAAATGTTTCTCCAATTTTTAAACTTAGAACATTAAGTGGAAAAGACAGAATTCAGAATATTAGACTTCCAAACCCATATCCTTCATCCTGGCTATACAAAATCTTGTAATGACTCAAAGTAAAAGCATTATTCTGATACAACGCACATTTATTATTGTTGTCATGGATTGAATGTTTTCTTTTACTAGATTATTTCATTAACACTCCATGATTGTGATTTAATTAGAAATGTGTTGTAAGGGAAAAGATAAATCAATGTAGAGAAATAATGTACAAACTGCATTAGTTTCACATGATTCTTCATGCATGTGGAGAGATATCCTTTGAAATATAAGATTATAAATCACATCTGTCATCTTGCAACTAAGGATATTTTTGTTTGACACATTGTTAAAAGCAATTTAATTCTAGAAAATTCAAAACAATAACTTCTATAGTCAATTTACTTTAATTTCCAGAATTAATCACAGTCTCACTATTTGATCTTGACAGCACATCTCTTTTTTGACAATAATTAACTACTTGACTGACAGTTTCACGTCTTGAAGGCAAAGGACTAACTGTGAGCTGATTTGTTCAGAGTTGCATTATCTCACTTTTTTATGATCTGAGATAGAAAGAGGAATTTACTTGACATGAAACACTTTTGCTATAGTCTTGTGGGTGAAAGGAAATCATGTACATCGCTCCTACACTTTAAATACACTCTTCCTAAAATCAACTTATAAACTCACTACTTTAACAAATACTCAAGTAAGACAATAAAGTTTATTACAGTTATATCTCCAATCTATGCGGGAACTATTTAACTTCAGCAAATCGTAATGGTTAGTATTCAGATAAAAAAGAAGGAGAAAAGGACAAAAAGGAGAAATCCAGGCAGGAAGGATCGGAGGATGTTTTCTGACAAACTTAGCTTATGGAAATCATCTCATCCATTAACAAGAATTTACTTTCTATGTAATATCAAGACATTCTTTTGAAAGGAGCAAGTAAACATGTTTTTAACTTCAGAAAATATTTTCATATTTTCCACAAATTTTGAGATATCCTTTGGAATATCCATAAAGATTTTGGTAAAGCAATTTTAATAAAAGCTAATAATAATTTTAAATAAAATCAGAATATTATAAAGAGAATGATCAAAACTTATCCCCATTTTTTTTCCCTAGGTGATTCAGACCATCAGTGCAGTGGATAGAGATGAATCCATAGAACATCACCATTTTTATTTCAATCTGTCTGTGGAAGAAAATAACTCGAGTTTTACAATCTTAGATAACCAAGGTAATGCCATTCACTTATAATAGCTTTTTATTCATTCTTCAGGATCTTGTTTAAATTTAAGAAAATTCATAGCATTACTTTTTATACTGTTCCTGCAATATGATAGTGTTGAGAAATTATTCAAGGACTGGAAATGGAAATGGGAAACAAAACCCAAAGTAATGTGGGAATACTAACCTCATTTCCCACTGGATTTCTTTAAACTGGAAGCACTTTTTCAAGTAATTATTGGCTATAAGCCCTTGTAGAGTCTTAATGACCTTGAAAATCTAATTGCAGTTCCTCTCATGTCTTCATAGCTGGAGAAGAAAATGATATATACTTCCCTGGTGGCTAAGACAGTAAAGAATCTGTCTGCAATGAGGGTGACTAGAGTTCAATCCTGGGTTGGGAAGATCCCCTGAAAAAGGGAATGGCAACTCACTCTAATATTCTTGTCTGGAGAATGCCATGGACAGAGGAGCCTGGAGGACTGCAGTCCTTGGGGTCCCAAAGAATCAGGCACAACTGAGCAACCAACACTTTCACTTTTCATAGTCACTTGATTGATTCAAAGATATTTGGAATCATTAATTAGAAGTTATAAATATATGAAAAGGCTGTTCTTTTCCCTTTAAAACAAAATGGTTGTATCAGCCTAAGAGCAAAATGTTCTAAAGGATTTTGTATGGAGAGACGGAGTTCCTTTTCCTTCCATATAGAAGTAGATTAACTTTGTAAAAAGCTGCATTGTTCTTTTTTGCTTCAATAAAATATTTTTTGTCTTCATATACACTTCTATTCTAATTTTGCTTCATATCACAAAGATATGCAGCACCGTAGGATTCATTATTCAGGCATCTATAACCAAACATGTGCAGCTGTTCTTCCTTATACCTGAGTTTAAGCTCCCATCAAGGGGAGATCTTTTATGGAAGGATAAATGCAGACACATTCTTTCCCCTTTGCCTTTATCAAATTCCCTAGTGAAAAAAAATGCAACAGCAAAATAAGAATTTGTTTATATTTGTTTATGTTTGCTTAGATTTGTTTATATTAATATAAAATAAATTAGTGGGACAAAATAAATATATTGACACATAAAGAGAAAAATTTAATATTGGTTTAGTATTTGTGGTTATAAGTAAGAAAATACTTATAAGAAAATACATACCAAAAAGTATAAACTTTCTCACCTGTTTGATATGTCTGCTGAATAAAATCACAGATGGTTTGTAGACTTCAAGAGCATGATGGAGAATTTGCTTTTAAAAGGAGATTTGGGAAAAGTGATAAGTAGGCATACATTTCAAAAGACTTCCATTTATTTTCATTTATCTATTTCAAAGACTTCCATTTATCTATCTCCTCTTATTTGTTTGTATCTTCTAGAATTTGTTTGATTGCTACAGAATATCTTTCAAGGAATGCCAATACACAAAAAACAAAGTGTCTGGGGGGAAACATATTGTGTATCATAAACTGATACACAATAAACTGCTTTGGAGAAGACCATTTAGCATATTTGGGGATTCAAGGAAAAAAATTAAATATTAATTTAATTTTGTATATATAATTTATTTTTGTTAACTATTTGAGTGTTCTAGCCAGGTGAATTAATCAGTACTATTAAGGTTTAACGATTCTCTGAAATATAAGTAGAAAATAGGTTAATAATGTCAAGGTGAAATGAAATGTTCTAAAAGGAACTTTAACTCCAAGTAAAATTAATTCTTTTGTCTTATTAATAAATACATTATTTGAGATCACTTACTGTGACACAGAGATGACTTTGAAAATCTCATGTATTTATATTATTTGTGAAAGTAATGAGTTTCTGTTAGAAAAATGAGCCATGAGTATTTAATTCAAATGAAACTGATGAGTCTTTATACATTTAATGCTAGTACCCCGGTATACTGTCAATGGCTAATTAAAAAGTTATTTCTTTTCTGTGTTCCATATGTATGTTTCCTATCTTTACAAAAAAAACTGAAAAAAAACAAAACATTTTAGAACTGATTCATATAATTCATCTAATTTTGTAACTGGGATTTAGGTAATGTCAAAATCAGAAATGACTTTTTTAATTGATCTTTTAATTTTCTTTTTCATCAGAAATGTACTCTTTCTTATTTGAGCTTATTTAATCTCTACATTTCTGCCTCTTCTACACTTAGTGGCTATGAATTTCTTTTGCATTATTGAAAAAAATTATGCCCATGGATTTTTGTTTTAGATAACACAGCGGTAATTTTGACCAATAGAACTGGCTTTAGCCTTCAAGAAGAGCCTGTTTTCTACGTATCCATCCTAATTGCTGACAATGGAATCCCATCACTTACAAGTACAAACACCCTTACCATACACGTGTGTGACTGTGGTGATGCTGATAGCACACAGACCTGCAGTCATAAGGATTTTATGCTTTCCATGGGATTCAGGGCAGAAGTCATAACTGCCATTCTGATATGCATTATGATAATATTTGGTAAGTCATGTGAACTGAGCATATATTCATTTATTGACAGCATGATACATATAGAAAAGAGTGAATTCCATTGTAATGATATAATGTCGACTTGTGTGTGTGTGTGTGCCTGTTTGTGTATGTGTTTAATTGCCCTTCTGAATTGATCTTTTATTGATCAATTGATCTGAATTGACCTTCTCAATGTGTTACAATTCTTAAATCAAGTGGAGTAAATGAAAAATAGAGTGAATATGCACTTCAAGTTCAAAATCAATGATCCTTGAATTTAATGAGTATGTGAGTACACATGTGCACATCCTTTTAGGAGTGGTTTTGACACACACACTGCAACATATAGTAATATAAAAATTAGTAATAATAAAGGCAAACTTATGTTGAGCGCTTATTATACTCCAGGAGACTGTCTTAAGTGGTTTGCAGAAATTATGCAGTGTACTCCTCAGGATAACCTCAAGATGTAGCAAATGTTATTGCCTGTATTGGACACATGAAGAAAGTGAAAGTCAAAGAGTGACCTGATTTACAAAGGGTCAGGTAGCTAGTAAATGAAGTGCTGAGGTTCCATGACCATAACACACCTCCATCCAACCCTTTAGGGCAGCACACTAAAGCCTAGGAGCATTGGGGGAGTAAATGTTAGGATAAAAGAATGTAAATGAGAAGTAACAAGGATCTCTGTAGAGCCCAGGGCACCCGTCAATACTCTGCACTGGCCTATATGGGAAAAAGTCTAAAAAAGAGTAAATATGTGTACACGCATAACTGATTCGCTTTGCTGTACGCTGAAAACTAACACAATATTGTAAATCAACTCTACTCAAAAAAAAACAAAAACAAAAGGAATCCCAACTGATCAGGACATACATAATTCTGTCAGTCACATCTCTCCCAGGGTTTCCAGCTTTCCAGCATATATCACGAGGAACTAACAGAAAGTTTTCTGCTTTAAAAAAAAAAAAAAAATCACTTGTTTGTGATGGGTAATTATGTTTAAGCTAGCTTTGTAGTTAAAAATAAACATAGCTTTCATTCTAAAAATGTAAAACAGTCTTACTTAAGGTGTTAAACACAAAAGAAATCTTAGTAAAATAGCTCCATTTGTTTTCATCTGTTTGTTGTTGTTGCTGCTGTTTTCACAAGGAAATAAGTTATGCTCATTTTACAGATGAGGCAAATGAGGTTCCAAATGTTTTAGCTAGGCTTTCAAAACTACACAGTATACATCAAGCATAACTTTTACCTTTTCTTAACATACCAGTCTATGTAGTCTAAACCCTTCTGTCACTTCCCTCATAACTTCATATCAAAGCCAAGACAACTGTATTGAATGTTGACAGCAACCATATGAGCCATGGGTTATGAAATCCCAAACTCACTACTCAAACTGACATACAAAATGTTTCAGGATTTGCTTTACCTTCACTCTTCTCATCTTTCTCAAAGCTTTAAAAATCATGCATTCCTCTTTTAACAAAGTTACCCTTCTTTTCTACCTAGCTTCAGTTTTTCAATTATTTTTGATGATCTTTTATCATAAAACTGAATTTACAGCTGTATAACTAGATAGCAGAAGCGAGAAGCAGTAGAAACAGTATAATGTTTGCAGGTTGCAAGTACAAAATTGCTCACTGGTACAGACCTAAACCTAGTCCCAAGACCCTGCAAGTGAACCAAGGGCAACCTCACAGTCAAGGGCATGAATCATATTGAAAAGGTGGAATGTCAGGTTCAACAATAGTCAGCAGTTTCCTGTGAAAGTTTCATGAATATGCTCTTCAATTCATAGATTGAAAAATTATTTATTAGATCCCTTTCTATTTCAACCATATATCTCAGCTGTATTGAATTACTGTACCTGGATTCAGGCACAGTGAACTTATTTCAGGGACACTATTTCAATTTATTTAAATGTGAGATTTACCTAAAATATTGCCTAATGTATTTATCTTTTGATAATATTAGAAGCATTACTTCCTGTTTGTTTCAGTTCCTGTAGATGAAATTCTGAACAGATACGTAAAATCTGAGATTGTGGAAGGGTTGACTACACATGAAACACACATACACACACTTGTCTCCAGAAATTTTTTTAAAAAGCATTCTGAAATTGTGCTATTTCTACACAATGTTAAAACTATTTCATATTGATACAATTTGATGTGAACATACCAGTGTTATGACTCAAAAACCTGATAAGTTTGGAATTTCTGAAATTAATATGGTATAGCAAACCACAGATTGTGAACCAGCTTTCTGGTTTTGAATACCAGCTTTTTGTTTCCTGGGCATGTGATTTCATCTCTCTGCACTTCGTTTTCACCATCTTTACTAGAGCACTATAATAAAATATGGGTATCACAGCAAATCAATGAATATATGTAAAGCTTTTAGAAAAATGACTGGTACAGACTTTGTAGTCAATAAATACTAACTTAGGAAGAAATTATGCCACAGAATGTGTCTCAGTGGTAAAAATCAAACCAGCTCAGGGTGCTTCACTTCCTCTAACACGGATCACTGGTTCCTGAGATTGACAGAGGCACGTAGATTGGAAAATCTTATTTCTCATCTTTGTTCTATTTTCAGTAAAAATAAAAAGTAAACTGTTGTCATAAATTGATCATCATATAAAGTTCACTATATTTTTCTGATGTTTTTCCACTCCAAATCATCAGCCAGTTAAGTCTGCTCTACTTCCTTATCTTTCTGCAAGTTCCTTTGATAAATTTACAATGACAAATATATCTTTGCTTTATAATCAGAAAACTGAAGCTTATGTCTTGAGTTTGTAACAAAAACAAGAATTTATAGCTTATTATAAATAACACACTATTTAACAATATTTTATAAATAGATAACATTATATATTTAATTATAGTATGCATTAATATTATAAATGTAACAATATTTGATAATGTGTTTCAGTATAAATAGAATGAATATATAGTATAACATTACTATAGTATAACATTATAACTAATATAACATATATTAGTATAACATTATATGTTTATTTATAATATAGTAATACAAATGTAAACATGCATTATATTTATAATAGGTGTAATAGAAAGCCTAAACATTTAAAATATATAATACTGTATTTGCGTTAATGTTCTGATACGCTTTGTTTGACAGGGTTTGTTTTTCTGAACCTCGGTCTGAAACAACGGAGGAAACAGACTCTGTTTCCTGAGAAAAGTGAAGATTTCAGAGAGAATATATTCAGATACGATGATGAAGGTGGCGGAGAGGCGGACACGGAGGCCTTCGACATCGCGCAGCTGCGGGGCAGCGCGCTGATGCGGGGCCGGAAGCCCCGCAGAGCCTCCAGGGCGGAGATGCGCAGCCTGTACCGGCAGTCTCTGCAGGGCGGCCCGGACAGCGCGGTGTTCAGGAAGTTCATTCTGGAAAAGCTGGAAGAGGCTGACACTGACCCTTGTGCCCCGCCTTTCGACTCCCTCCAAACCTATGCTTTTGAGGGAACAGGATCCTTAGCTGGATCCCTGAGCTCCTTAGACTCCGCAGTCTCTGATCACGATGAGAATTATGATTATCTTAACCAACTGGGACCTCGCTTTAAAAGATTAGCGTGCATGTTTGGTTCCGCTGTGCAGTCAAAGAATTAGGGGTTTTTTCATTAAGACTTTTTTTTTTTAATGCTAATGCATGTTTGGGCAAACTGGTAGTCGCTTGGTGAAAAGTTGTTTACTTCAGTCCCCTGGGAAAAGAAAGAGACGCAATTTATACTATTCTCTGATTTTCTTGGAGTAAATATCCCATATAGTCCCTGACTGCAGATAAGGGAAGTGAAGCTAACATTGCAGATTCCCGCTGGCAGGCCCCTGAAATACTCTTTCGGATTTTTTTTTTTTTAATGCCGAATACAAATTCTCAAAATTTTTGACTGTTTAATATGAAAAGGACAATAAGCTAGATTGTCTTAATTTTATTTCCTTTATTCACTTTGTAAATCTTGCAAAGTAACAGTAAAGTGTTTCTGTGTGTTAACTTCCTGATACTCTACAGAGAAAAACATTCTGGGTGGTTATATACAACTTTCAAAAACTCTTTTCTATGAATATGCAAGCTTATGACTGAAAGTCTATGATTCATTTCAGTTTGATATTTTAAAATTGTCTTCAACACATTTTAAAACTGATTTCAAATTTAGACTGGTGCTTGGTATCTGTTTATGAGTCAAAGATATAGTGTAAATTTATATTCTCTTTGATATTACAGCTTTATAGAAAAAAGGGCATACATAGACTATGTTTAGGAGATTTTCATAAGTTATTTTCTTATGTTTTCAAAGTACTTCTTTATCATATTACAATGCAATCACAAAGTACCTATCAATATTTCCTCAAGATTAAATTGAAATTTTAAAAAAATAATTGAAAGTGTGAAATTTTTTAATTTTATTGCTACCAAAATGATAGAAGTAAGTGAAAGGAGTACTGGGTTCAAGTTGGAATTAGTATTCCTCCTAAATATTATGATCAACTGCACTGCTCTTACTGTGCATAAAATAAAACATGATAAAATTCTCAGCATTTCCTTTTTTATTGATGCTTAGACTGTAACTGATTCTTCCATGTCATTTTTTTATTACGCAGTATAAAATTAGGTACAATAGTTACTTTTATTGTAATGTTATGAAGGAAATATGCTAAGCTGCTGGACATAAAGCTTGAAGGTAACATTAGATAGTCAGATAATAAAACACTTTGATTTTAATCAGCCTTGTAAGAATGATTCTTATTATTCTATCCAAATCAAAGTGAAATTCGAAATTCATAGCTTGAACAGAAAGTAGTGAATACTGTGTCCTCAAAATTGCTTTATGTGTTCATTTTTTATTAATAAGGTGTGAAACTGAACTGAACCAAATTGATCATAAATGTTCAAATCAAATATTTCAAATAATTTTGAGCTTAAGTTGGAACAGTTGAATACCTACAATCTCATTTTGAGACATAAACATCCATACCATGTAATAGAAGATAATTTTTTCATCAATATCAGTCAGGTATCATTGATATCATTTTGTGTCAGCAACACAGATATAATTTTACAAAAGCCTAAGAAAAACAGACTTGAAGTACAACAATTTTGGAAGCTATTAAAAGTAGTTGGAAAGGACATAAACTGTAGTAAATCCTTGTACATGCATATCATTATTTACTTAGGGAAAAGTAAGAACAGTAAACAAAAGAAGCTTCTAAAAGAGCAAAAACTTGCAAGTAAAAAATAAATGTATGGGTTGAGAGAACATTTATATTCCTATCATATTGACATAAAAATTGAAAAAGTATAGTTAGGGAAATTTTCATGAATCATTCCATGAATGGCTGCTCCCTGTATTTAGAAAATAGTGTATATAATCTTGGTTAAAGAAATTGAAAGTATGATAAATAGCAGGTGAAGCAATCCATGGAAAATAGATTAGGAAAAAAAAAGAAAGAAACTTCGGGGCTCACAGTCAGTTCTGTCATGGATGGAAGCTTTATAAACAGCTTATCAGCTTGGATGAACACCTTATAAAAATGCACATTGATGCAATATCTGCATCAATAAGGTTTAATGTTTGAGTCCAGTGGCATTAAGCAGATGTGTTAACATAAATTCTGGTTTAATTAATGATAGGATTGTCAATCATAGCACACATAGGAAAAGAGATTCAGGGATGGATACCTATGTGTTAGTCTAAAAAGCATTCTTTCATAATTATATATAAATAATACTATCAGATTCTATAGAGAAATTGCAATTTTCTAGATATTATACTTGGTAATATATCAATAACTATTTTAAGTTTTTTTCTAGTCACACAGGTGTTGCAAGAATATAGCTGTATCCTAAGTGAAAGATATGGCTTTAAGATCTCATTTTTGTAAATTTGAATAAAGGTAAATCAGTGTGGATACTTAATGAAATAGCACAGCTTCACATTATTACCTGCATTACAGTGTTCTTGCCTGGAGAATCCCATGGATGGAGGGGCCTTTGGGCTACAGTCTATGGGGTTGCAAAGAGTCAGACATGACTAAGCAACTAAGACACACTCACTTAAATGTCACTCTTCATTAACTTGCAGGTTGATGCCTAAGTCTTAAATTTCTAGTAGTTGATACAGGAAGATGTTAAAAGCCTTTATAGGGATCAGAAAATATTAGCCATATTTGTTCATTAAGGCCATGGCTTGAGCCTGTCAGATCTGAGTTTGCATTATTTCACTTTTATTTAGGTAACTGTGTGAATGTTGTTGAGCTGAATAATCTTTCCACATCTGAGGTTGTGATTGCTAAGATGAGGTCCAATCTACCTTTTTCACACAATTGTTGTGAAGAATAAATAAAACAGAAAGAGTGTGCAGTACCAGACAAAATGCAAGAGCTCAATGAACGACAGCCCATCAACACAAAAGCCCCCACGGCTCTGCTGGAGCTCACAGATCCCTTTCTTTTCAAACTCTGAGCGATCCCAAGGGCTTCACAGCACATTTGAAACGTAAGTCAACTTTCTGACCTGACACATGAGGTTCTGCATCATCTGTGCCCTGCTTATTTCTGTGTGCGCTCCACTCTTCCGATGTCATGCTCAAGGCCTGAAACAACCTCTCTCCAAACGTTTCTATTTTTCATTCCCTCACTTCATTCAAGTCCATGATCAATTCTGACTTCCTCAGAAAGACCTACTGGGCCACACTCCCCCAAATGTGGGTCCCTAGCTTTGCTTTCTTTCCATCAGATCGCTCAGTTACCTGGTATTTCTTTGTATATATGGTACTTGCTATTGTCTTTATCCTTTTGTTACAGTGTAAACCCTAACTGGGCAAGGAATTGTCTGACTTTTTCACTTGTTCTTGTCTGAAATAGCTTCTGGCACACAGTATGTGACCAACAAATGTTTCTTGAACGAATGCAGTAATGAATTCCAATCTATTTTTCTTTGTCAAGTAATATAGAAGCAACCTTAACTTTGTTGAATATTAATATGGAATTAAGGTATTTGTCAAACGAGGTTGGCACTGGGTAGTTCTGGGATACAATAATATTTTTCAAAATCTTTCTGTAAATTATAAGAGCTTGATGTTTTACCTTTTTTTGTACTTAATTATATCACTTCCTGCTGTGGGGAGGGGTAATGGTGTAACCCTGCTTGGTCAAAACACATCGTTTGATGATTGTTGTAGAAATCCTCATATGAATAAGTTCCCATGAAATGTGATGTGCAGGAAAACATTTGTGGTGCATGGGAATTCTGCTTCACATGTTAGAAAACAATCTGGAAACAAATGCATTGTTAAGTTTGCAGGGCTACACAAAACTTCAAGGTAGCTTCGTGTTCTTTTTTATGATTTTAAATAGGCATTAGATAGCAAAGACATTAAAAGGTGGGAGGCACACTAGTGAGAGAAATGTAGGAAAGGATTATGCTGCTTTTTTCCTTTTTTTTTTTTTGGCCACACTGAGCAGCCCGTGGGCTCTTAGCAACCTGACCAGCATTGAACCCATGCCCCTTGCAGTGGACGCCCAGAGTCCTAACCACTGGACCGCCAGGCCAGTCCCATGTGTGGCTTTTTTTTTTTTTTAGATATAGACATATCTCATTATATCTATCTTCTTTATCTGTGTACCTATCCAACCATCCTTCCATCCACATATCTATCTATCCATCTATCTCCTGACTATTGTCTATCTCCTCCTTCAGGAAATTGTAATTTCACAATTACACTGGAGATCAGCGCCCCAGTCACAGGTTAGATCCTTGGGACATGTTGGTACTTGTTTCTCTTCTCTTCCTAGAGAGCTCTGAGGATGGGAAGCTGCCTGGTGTGAAAGGGCAGGGAAAGAGAGAGGGCGAGAACTGGGCAAAATGCGGTTCCTGCCCTTTGACAAGGCAAAACTGCGTGATTTCCCAGAGGTTAAGTCACTGCCTGTAGATATTTTGCACAGAAGGGAGAAGCTTCGGGAGCTGAAATCAGTCATTCAAAGACTGTGTGACACGGACTAAGGAAAAGCAGGGACCTCTGGTCCTTAAGACATCTCCGAATCCCCCCGCATGAAATCCAGAACGGAGGGACAGCCGTCAGACACCTGTCATCACTCCGGGCTCCGGCTGTGACGTTATGATAGTTCCAGTCCCTTATCTCTCACCTTTCCATCCCCATCCAGAAACCAGAGGTCCTGACACAGAGTAAGTGGAAGAGGAAGAGAGACAGAGGCGCCCTGGCCAAGGTGGGCATAACAAAGATCAATAGAAATGTCTCTTAAAAACTGAATAAAATAAAGCATTTTCATGATGTTTCTTTCACGTTGCAAACTAATCGATAAAGTGGATACATTAAAGTATCAAATCCATTTGGCATTTCATGTAGTTTGAATAATTTGAAATTCACCTTGCTAGTTTAAAGCATTAGGAGAATACAAAAAAGTAAATATGATTTATAGCTTTCTTAGGCCACCTGAAAGCATATTAAGATAGTTTGCACAACTTTATTTTATGCTATTTCTTTGTGCTTATTCATTTTAATATTTAAATTGTGATCTGTTCTTTGGGTTTTGCAGTGCTAAGTGGTTTATCTCAGCCAGACATAAGACTGGACATGGAAATGACCATATATATTCACGATGACACAGAGGTACAAATCTTTAGAATGTTTTGCCCTAAAAAAAGGGAGTAGAGATAATATATGGAAATCTCATGTTTCTGTAATATTGCTTCATTTACATGCTAAAGAGAGTGAGTGGTGTATGAAGTACATTGCACATTGTTTTCCAGTTGCTAAATATTTCTTCCTTATGTAAACTCTGGCAAGTTACTTAAAACATTGTCTTTTGGTAGCTCCATCTGTACAATGGTAACATTAAGGATATATACTTCATCACACTATTGGAGGAAGTAACCGAAATAATACATATAAAGAATTAACTGAGCTTAATGTATAGGAAACATGACATTTTAACTTGTGTGATTGTTAAAAATAATAATTATTATAATTATATGATGTTAATCTTTAGGAATGCTCATAGATTCATCTTACTCTAGAAATATTATGGGCAAAAGAAAATGAAGTGGAAATGGGTGAAGATGGCTGCAAGCTACAAACTTCTGTTTATAAAATAAGTCCTGAGAATGTAATGCACAGTATGTTGACTATAGTTAATAATACAAAAAAAAGGTGAGAAGAATATGAATTAATTTAGGAAATAATTAGCTTGCTGTTACTTCCTGCCGCTGCCCACTTTGACCCTTCCATGGTAATGTGCTGTTACTACCAAAGGAAAAATTAATTGCTCAAGTTATACATTATGTATGAGATGTTCTGATTGAACATCCCTCCTCTGTGACATTTACTTGGAAAAAGATCTGCTAAATTAAGTAGTAACCTCACTTGGTGGTGACTTTTTCTAGGTTTATATGTTTTAGGGAAAAAAAAAAAAACTATGAAAGAAGAAAGGGTTGATTTTGCTCACTTTTGTAACTGATGGAGAAGTGAAATTATTTCTATGTTATGTTAATATTGAAACTACATGGAAAACAGAGTGAACGGGCTAAGGGCTCCAAGAGAAAGCTTTCATACCTTTTGTAGCATCTAAGGTCTGATACCCAGAGTTCTAATTTTATACTAAGAATTTAAAGTACAAAGCAGACTGTTCTCATCACCTCTGAAGATACAAAATGAAAAGCTGCAGCTTGACTTCTCTCTATATTCCCCTGTCCTTTCTCATTAAAAAAATAATAATAAAATAAAATAATGACATGTTGCCATATGTTCTCTGGTGAGAACATTTTTATCATCTTTTTCTCTTCTATCTACTCTTAGGGCTCAGGCAAGTTCTAGGCAATTATCCAGCTCATACTGACACTTCAGTTTTCAGAAACTTCTTTCTCATCCCAGAAGATCTCTGCATTATTCTGGAAGCTTCCTTTGCAGAGCTAATTATCTAAGTTTAACTCTCTTTAAAACTTAACACATACCTGCACTTGACAAATTCAATTTACATAGAATTTCATCTGATCACTCGAAAATGTCGTTTCATTGACTATATAAATAAAATGAGAAGTTCATGAATCTTATATTTATTCATACTCACCCATCACCATATATTGTTAAAACGATTTGTCCAAATAGCATAGTGTTTAAGAACAAACATTTCTCCCACTTTGTAAAGTATTCTACAGTCATGTTACTTTATCTTTTTAAGTAAATACTTGAAATTTGTCCTGAAGAACATGGTGGGAAAATGT